AAGACAATAGGCAAATAACTGATTAAGTAACTTAATGAAATGCATCTGATGTCAGATACTAAGAAAAGTAATAGATAAATCAAACAGGAAAGACTCAATTGTCTTTGAAGTTTGGGTTGAAGTCAGCCTGGGCTAGAGTGAGACCCTGTCTTAGAAAAATTTTAAAGGTGGGGATGAGAGGATAGAGAAGAGAGGGAGGGGGATGGGAAGAGGGGGCAGGGGAAGGGAGGACAGGGGAGAAGAGAGAGAAGAGGAAGGAAGGGGAAAAAAGGGAGGGTTGGGATAAAGCGGGGAGGAGAGGAGCAGGGAAAACATGATGTTGTCAGGTAGAAAATGTGGGGAGAAGGATTTTTCAAAAGAAGAGATAATTGCTAAGGTGAGAAGAAATGGATCTTGAACATGAACAAAGTGGTTGGAACTCAGAGCATGGGAAGTTTCTCAAGACACAGAAGAGTGTGCTGCTATACAAACTTGTGGTATCCATCCCTATTGTCACATTTATTAACAGCAGAAGCAGGCCTAGAGGTGTGACTCAGTGGTACACTGAGGGCTTGCCTAGCATGCACAAGGCCCTGGGTTCTATCTGTGGCACAACACACGAAAGTAAAAAGAGCAACTACCAAGGTGGTATTGAGGTCTGAGGATGCAAGGGAACATGTAAGGATACTAGGAAGTGAGTCTTGAGATTCATTTCATGAATTTCAAGTGAGACCAGTCAGCAAGCTTTTGTGTTATGTCATTCTGCCTGTTTTGCTACAGAGAAGCAGGTGTGGAGAATTAGTTTTAACCAGGATTCGGGATTTGTGGAGCAAGATAAAGGAAGCCAAACTGCTGAGAGTGTGTGAAAGGAAATAACTTTAACAATGGGCATGAAATATAAGCTGAGGGAGTGAATGAGGAGACCTTTGAGGGATAGTGAAGAGATGCCAAGATCAATAGACTAAGTGCCAGTGTGGTCAGGAGACTTGGGGTTAGGATGTGAAGGGAATGAGATCCTGCCACAACCACAGAACAGAAGGATGCTCTAGAATCCATGGGCTCCATCAGAAATGCTGAGATAAATCCTGACCTGTGGAAAAGGAATAGAAGACCTCTAACAGCTGTTGACCTTTTGAAGTGGGAAGAAGGGCTTTCGAGGTGACTAGGGAAAGAGCAAGAGACACAAACATTGACAGAGGTTTAGGACCTGTCATGCTGGCAGGGAAAGGAAATGGCCAGGAACCAGGACATGGTTCATGGCACCTCAGAAGTAAAGAACACTTTTGCTTGTTGTAACTCATTTAAATGAAAGAACAGACTTGGAGTACACCTAATTGCCCATGAGAAGGAATTTACAGTTTATCTCTAAGTCTCAGTTCACAAAACTGATAAATGAGAGGGGTTCCCTACGACACTTGTTCTCAAATTGTCTAACCCGAGTAACTGCCTGGAAAGTCTTCACAGATTCCCATGCTTCTGATTTAGTAAATGTGAGCTCCAGCCTATACATTTATTTATATGCTTTAATGAGGCTCCCCAGGTGACTTGTATGATATGGTAAGTTTGGAGAGCTGACTGATATCTATTCAGGGACTTTAGAAATAGTAATATTCTAAAATATTGAAGTAGTAGTAATGCTTTTAAGAGCATAACTGAAGCCTAGCATGTAGGCTCATGAGCCTATTACCCCAGCACTTGGGAGGTAGAGGCAGGAGGAGTAGGAATTGAAGGCCAGCCTGGGTTACATAGTGAGTTCAAAGTCAGACTGAGCTACATGAGACCCTGTCTCCAAAAATAAGGAGAAAAAAGAAAGGCATAACTGAAGCCTGGCTAGAATCTTAACACTGGAGAAGAAGAGGAAGGGAGAGAGAGAAGGAAAGAAAGAAGAAAGGAAAGGGAGGGGAGGGGAGCGGAGGGGAGGGGAGGAGGAAAGAAATTAGCTGACCAAAACATCTTCTGAGCTGAATTTCCCCAGATAGGATCAAGGACACATGTAGCCCTGTTTGCCCCAGCAACCACACTTGCAACCATATAGGAAAAAGTAGACTGAAAGCAAAGCTGAGGGAGCGTGTAGAAAAAACACACAGAGAAAGGGAATAGGAGCCTGGCTGCACCTCACCTGAACTCCACTCGGCCTCTGGATTTTTCACTTTCATGAGCCAGTGTAAGTTGGGTTTTCTATTTCTTGTTTCTTGGAACAAAATGTATCCTCCACACCCTTCCCCACATCAGAATTAAACCAGTGTAGAGGTTCGTGCTAACAATTTTTTCTCCTCCCCTTTGGTGAAGTTGCTAAGATCAGCATATTTCAGCTAAAATAAATCCATTATTAGATTCAACAATATTGTCAGGCCTGGTGGCACACTCCTATAATCTTGGCACTCAAGGAATGTCAAGAGTTCAAGACTAGCCTGACTGGGCTATGTATACAGTGGGTTCCAAGCCAGCCTGGGCTGTAGGATGATACCTTGTCTCAAAAAGCTAGAGAGATGGCTCAGCAGTTAAGAGAACTGACTGCTCTTGCAGAGGACCCAGGTTTGGTTCTCAGCACCCACATGGTGGCTAACAATTGTCTATAACTCTCAATTCTAGGGAATCCAAAGCCTTTTTCCTGGTCTCCATGGGCACTGCATGCACAGGTGCACTTACATACCTGTAGGCAAAATAAAATATACATAAAATAAAAATAAATCAAAAAATATTAAGAAAAAAAAGCAGCTGGGTATGGCAGCACACCCTTTAATCCTAGCCCTGGGAGGCAGGAGCAAGAGGATCATGAGTTCAAGCCTCTGGGCTAACATGGGACTCCAAAAAAAAGTTTAAGTCTGCCGGGTGTGGTGGCGCACGCCTTTAATCCCAGCACTAGGGAGGCAGAGGCAGGCGGATCTCTGTGAGTTGGAGGCTAGCCTGGTCTCCATAGTGAATCCAGCAGCTAGTGCTACAGGGAGACCCTGTCTCAAAAAGACTAAAGGAAAAAAAATTTAAGTCAACTATATTTAAGGATGAGTAATTTTAATTTTTTTCAACTTTTACTCAGAAAAACATACCCTTATTAATGACACAAAAAACAATCACTGAATTGAACCCCAAAGTGTGTCTAAATTCCTGTTACTTAGAGACACAATGTTATATGGGAATCCAAGAAATTCTAGCATAATATTATAGTTATACTCCACCTGTTTTTCAGGTTTATTCAGAATCAATTGAACCCTTACAAGTAGATACACTGTCACTTAATGTAAATCAGTAGATAAGTGAGTAAAGCTTATTTTCAAAGTTAAGAGGAATCATCACATTATTGGCTGACAGCACATCAGCTTGAAAGAGACCTTGGTCATTGCTTACAAACTGATATCCTAAGATCCAGACAATAAACAAGCCATTGTGCCCGTGGTAACAGTGGCTTATGTTCTCAATGCACAGAATGGTAATTACATTTCCTCCTTTGATTCATTTCTCACTGCTTCTTATAACCTTGGGGTCAGGCATGATCTAAGGGCTAATAACCCAAAGTACTGCAATTTCAAGTAAAACTTCAGATTGTCTAATCTGTCATTTACTGGGAAGAACACATTTTCTTCATGGTCTTTCATTGCTGTCCTAAATCACAAGTGACCAAATAAAGTTAACCATCTTTAGCCATGATAATGTTTCCATTTTCTTAGCACCTAGTACTAGAAATACAATTTAAATCAGAGACTAACAGAGTAACCATCAACATAGAGTGCACTTACTTGGTATGAAAGAACCAGTTCTACCATCTATGGAGCAAGCCCCTATGTTAAGTGCTAGAGACTCTTTCTATGCACCAAGATGCATCTGACTCTACAGAGGCCTCTTAACCTGTCTCCAGACTCTTCTCTGTCTTTCTATCTCATCCTCATAGCCCAGGTCAAGTGCTTGGAAAAAAGATCAACCAAGTCCTAGAATCATAAACAAGGGAAGTAAGCAGGGAAAAAAGCAAGGGTCTAGAAATCACAGAAAGAAAAAAAAAAAAAACCCTACATTGACTGAAGAATTCCATATATTGATGCTCATTTCCCCTATCTTTTCTCTCCATCACATTCTCCAAATAATAAAACTTCAGACTGCAAATGCATTTTCTAGACATTATTTTTACTCTTCTCATACTGAACTTAAAAAATTAGGTTGGAGGCTGGGTTTGGTGGTTCACGCCATTAATCCCAGCACACTGGAGGCAGAAGCAGATGAGATCCAGGCCAGCTGGTGCTACAGGAAGACCCTTTCTCAAAAAACAGAACCAATATGCCCAGAGTGGTGGGACATGCCTTTAATCCCAGCACTGGGGAGGCAGAGGCAGGTATATCTGTCAGTTCAAGGCCAGCCTGGTCTACATAGCAAGTTCCATGTTAGTTGGGGCTAGAGACCCTGTCTCAAAAAGACCAAAAAAAGAAAAGAATAAACAAAAAAAGGTTGGGTTGGGATTGTGGCTCAGTGGTAGAGCAAGTACTTGCCTGGCATTCATGAGGCTACAGGTTCAATCCCTAGTATAGCAATAATAATAATAATAAAGAATTTTAAAAGTTGCAACATGATTCCATGAACACAAAGAGCCCTCTTTCAACCTTAATTTTCTAGTACTTTCCTCCCCAACTCATTCAGTTAGCATAGGACTGCCAGCTCTTGAGAAATTTCCATAGACTTTTCAAATGTGTCTTCACATAGAAAATAAAAATATCATTGACCAGCTTTATCTGATAAGGTATATCTTTTTTTCCTCTACTCTTCATTCTCTCTACAGCTTTACCCCAGTTTCCTGAGGTACACTTTGTCTATGAAGTCTGGGACTGAGTCTGTGGTATGCTCCACCTACAGGAATATTTCTTACCCCTGATATGGTGATCAGTCGTCCAGTCAGCTCACAACTGAGCAAAGTCCTTGAGGTGCAACTGAGACTTTTGCTGGGAACAATGAGGTTGTTCACTGTTACCCAGTGGATATGACATTATAGGATGTAGCTCCAAAGCCACTGACAACCATTTTACACCAGAAGAACATACTTGAGAATGGCGTCATCGCAGGATCAGAAAAGAAAAGCAAAATTGACAACACAGAGTGAGCCTCCATTTTATATTAAGTTGAACCACATGAAATTGCCAATGTTTGATTATTTCTGTCTAGAGAAAAGGCAATTTCACATATCTCAAACAAATATCTGTACCTTTTCACTTAAATAATTCAACAAATTTCTTTGGCTTCAGTCAGTTTAATTACGTTTCTGTCATTAATGAGGGTATGTTAAATTCATTTCTGTATTTTTTATCAAACCCAGGGCTTTTGCACATGCTAGGCAAATGCTCTACCATTTAGCTGCAAAAGTCAAATTGTAGGAAAAGTAATCATGGTAGACAGTCTATAAACTATTTTCCACTCATTGTCTAATTTTATCTATATAACCATCCTATGAAATAGATGTGGACCTATTTTACAGACAAGAAAAGTACCTTCTAATTTCTAGTAACTCTGTTCTAGAATTTAACAGCCAAAGCCAATTACAAAACAATATGCTTTTAGTAACACTGGAAATAAATACATCTAGATTCTCTTCTTTTTCTTTTTTGTTTTTCCTCAAGACATGGTCTCACCATGCAGCCTTGGTTGGCCTAGAACTCACTATGTAGACCAGGCTGGCCTTGAACTCACTGAGCTCTACCTGTGCCACCACACCCAGTATAATAAAAAATGCAATTAAAATCTTTAATTAAACCTTCTCAGTATTTCCAGAGTGTCTCACTAGAGAGTGGGACAATGACTAACCAGGACTGGATAATTACCTTAACTAAGACTAAAATCTTAGTTCTGTAGCTGTCTGCACTATAAAACCCAAGGATCTTAAGGAATGTGCTTTGATGGCACAAGAGTTTGAGAAGCAGATTTGCAGATATAGACCTTCGAGAATTGGGACACTGATATGGCATAAGTTGTAGACCAAGCTGAAAGCACAAGCCATGTGGCTGTCTTAACCCATCAAGAAGTCCTCTTTGGCCGGACACAAGAGGCACATTCAATCTACTTAAAGACTGGCCAAGATCATCTACTTGTCATTCTTTGCTTCATCTGATAAGTCAGGATCACCTGATAGGAATCTAGAAATCTCCTCTCAACCAAAGCAGGTGGGGACATTCAGATGACTTGTATCTAAAAACAGTCAAGTGCAAAGACAAGCATTGAGAGACTCAGATTTAAATGCTGGCTATCACAGACCCTTAGGCCAGGAACCTAATCCCCTTGTCCTTCACTGCTTTAAGGCCCTCCCTCCTCCACTTATCTGTAAAATACATAGACTTAGAATCCTAAAAAGTTCCCTCCAGCTACATAAAAAGTTATAGCCAAGTGTCCTAGCACTTAGAAGGCAGAAGCAGGCAGATCTCTGTGAGATCAAAGCCAGCTTGGTCTACACAGCAAGTTCTAGGCTAGCTGGGACTACAGGGAGATCCTGTCAAAGAAAAAAAAAAAAGCTTAAGGATTTTAAAAAATTTTACATGTATGAGTGTTTTGCCTGTATGTATTTAAAGGCATCCATGTATGCAATACCCACAGAGGACAGATATCAGGGGAGTTAGTTGCCGTATGGATACTGGGAACTGAACCTGGGCCCTCTGGAAAAGTAGTAAGTGGCCTTAAGAGCTGAGTCATCTCTCCAGCCCTGGTCTTAAGTTTTTATCAGATCAAGATAGGCACAGGATTGAAGGGAGTTGAGGCATAAATCCTATTATAACCAGAAAAGAATTTCAAGCAGAGAAATAGAAGGAAATATGAAAATACAGGAAACAAATGCAGCGAGATAAACTGGCATATTTGCTATAGGTGTCACAATCCTTTCAAAAACACAGATTGCACCCAAAGTTGTATTGGAATTAAGAATATAGTTTTAGGGAGCTGGAGAGATGGCTCAGCAGTTACGAGCACTGACTGCTCTTGCAGAGTACCCGGGTTTGACCTCCGCGGCACTGCATGACACAGGTGCACTCACATACATGCAGGCAATACACTCATACACATAAAATAAAAAATTAATAAAAATTTTTAAAAATAAAAAAATATAGTTTTAAAGCAAGCACTTCTCCTTTTTGTTGTTTTTAGCTTTTGTTTTTTAGTCTTTTGAGACAGGTTAAGACAAGCTCTCACTATGTAGCCCTAGTGGGACTGGAATCCAGGCTGGCCTTAAACAACTAGAGCTTCACCTGCCTCCACCTCTGCCTCCACTATGACCAACTTTAAGTGAGTGCTACTTTCTTTAAAAAAAAAAAGAAAATAAATACAAACACTTCAGAATACAGTCTAGGATCTGGGAATTCATCAAAGAACTGCTAGTGGAAAATGTATATAAAAAAATAAGGCTGGCTGGCAAGATGGCTCAGCAGGTAAAGGCCTCCAAGCCTGACCACCAAGTTTCATCCCCAGGACCCACAGGGAATTAGAAGAGAATCTTTCACTTCGTATGCATCTTATGCACATGCACAGCCCCAACCACAAATCCAAAACTTTTTTAAAAAGATTTTTTTTCGGCTGAGTGTGGTTGTATAGTTCTTTAATCTCTATGCTGAGGAGGCAGAGGCAGGAGAATCTCTGAGTTCAAGACCAGTCTGGTATACATAGCAAGTGCCAGGCCAGCCAAGGCTACATAGTGAGACTGTCTCAAAAAAAAAAAAAAAAAAAAAAAAAAAAAAAAGAAAGAAAAAGAAGGCTGGAATGATGTCTCAGTGATTAAGAGCACTAGCTGCTCTTGCAGAGGACTTGGGTTCAGTTCCTAGCACCAACATGGTGGCCAAAAACTGTCCAGTTCCAGGGGATCAAAGTCCTCTTCTAGCCTCCACAGGCATTGCACATACATGCAGGCAAAACACTCATACATATAAAATAAAAATAAGTAAAAAAGTTGGGGGCCTGGAGAGATGCCTCAGAGGTTAAGAACACTGTCTACAGCTAGGCATGGTGGTACACACCTTTAATCCCAGCACTCAGAAGGCAGAGGCAGGTTGATTTCTGTGAGTTCAAGGCCAGCCTGGTCTACATAGTGAGTTCCAGGCCTGCTTCAGGAAGACCCTGTCTAAAAACAAACAAACCAAAACAACAACAACAACAACAACAAAACCCACTGTCTGGTCTTGCGGAAGTCCCAGGCTTGAATCCCAACAACTCCAGGAGCTCTGATGCCCTCTTCTGTCCTCTGCAGGAATTGCACACACAACACAAGTACACTTACATACATGCAGGCATAATATTCTCACACATAAAATGAAAATAAATAAATCAAAAAAATTTTTAATTTAAAAAGAGAAAAAAACTTTGTATATTTGAAAATTGGAAACAAAAATACACTTTTCTTTAAATGTTGATAAATAGGATTAAGAATAGTTTAACTTCTATCCTGAGAAGTTCTCTTGTTTTTCAGTTAAAAATACAAATCCTTCTGCCAGATATGGTGATATACTCCTGTATCTTGAGACTCAGGAGGTTGAGGGAAGAAGACAGTTAAGAGTATGACTCTGGGAACTTTCTAATCATGAAAGATAGAAAGCTAAGGGCAGGGGTAAAGTAGTGAGATGAGTAGGCTCAGCCCTCATGTGAACCCAGGGGAAGATAAAAACATAGGCCCACATGCCTAATGTCTAAATATGTAATAGTTGTATATCAGGGCTAAGAAACTATTACAAAGAAAACAGGTACTTGGGGCTGGCAATATGATTCAGTGGGTAAAGGTGCTTGCCACGGAGCCTGATGGCTTGAGTTTGATCTCCAGAATCCATATGGTGGAAAGAGAGAACTGACTCCTGAAAGTTGTCCTTTGATCTCATGTGTGCCATGGTATGGCATGCCCCCACAACACAAAATAAATAAAAGTGTAAGTCTGGGGGAAAAAATAAAAGTTTGAGTGCAGCCTGGGTTACAGAGTGATTTCAGGCAAGCCTGAGCTACAACAGGGAGAAACTGACTCAGAAAATAAAAATTAATTAAAATAATCAAACATGAAGACTAAGAATGAAGAGAATTGAGTTCAGAACTTAGAAGCCTAAAGAGTTTCTAAAAAGAACACATGCATATGTATCTCCACAGCCATAAAACAGTGGGTGACTATTATCTTTATCTGGTAAAACTTGCAGAATGCATCCCAGCTTCTTTTATAATCTTGCACGTAGACAGTAACTTAGAGAACATGACATTTTAACACAAAAGAAAAGCAAGAAAGAAGCAACCAGGATGACTCAGTGGGTAAAGGTGCTTGCTGTGGGAGCCTGATGACTTGAGTTCAAGCCCTAGGACCCAAGTGAAAAGGGGAGAACTGACGCCACAAAAATTGTCCTCTGACCTCCACATGTGCACTATAATAAGTACATTCACACATCATACACAATAAATATGCATTCACGTCATTCACACAACAAAATCAATTTTTAAGATGAAAAGAAAGAAGCAGGGAGCCACATATATAGTACAGCAGTTCAGTTATGGACTCTAGTCAGAATTCCTTCCGTTGCCTAAAATCTCTATCATTTTCTAACAATATGACCTGGGCCTCATTGCTCTGCACCCCCACTTTCCCATCTGTAAAAGAGGAATAATCAGAGACCTTACTTCAAAAGGATATTAAGACAATTATATGAATCCATCAATTAAAAAGTACTTTGAACAGGACTCCCCACAGAAGTGTATGGTGTTACTATTGCCTATATTATCATAGAATGGAAGATGCAAAGTTCCAAGAAGTCTAGGTACACATTAGTGATTAAAACATCAACTCAGGGGGAAAAAATGTCTGTTCTGGTGGTAAAGGCAAAATTTCCTTCCAAGCAGGCAAAAAAAGTACCCAAAACCCTAGGGCTATATTAGCATATGCAACCCTCCCCACCCCACTCCACCACACACACACAATAAAAAAAAACCCCTTTCTGTATTTCCAGTACTGAAGATGTTCAAAGGGAGTTATTCATTGTCTTCCCTTGCCTCCCCTCCCTTTCTGAAGATTTTTTGCAAGTTTGATGGATTTGTTGCCATTTCCAAACGTCCCAGGAAGT